AACAACACTGAGGCAGTGAGCTGCTCCGACTAGCAGCTCTGTGTACACTTACACAATATGCAAACTGTAGCCAGCATCAGCGCTGGCATTTGCAGTAAGACTGTGCAAAACACCAGTCAAACATCTGGGTTCGACTCGATTCTCCATGTGAAGCATTCAATCAGTTTTACAATGAAAAAGCAGAGATGAAAATAAAGGTGTACAGTGAAAAGAGTGAGAATATCATTTGCATCAATAAAAGATAATTCTACATATTTCTCATCTAAGAGTCTCCTCCTAGTTCTTCAAACGTGGTTGTTTAGAGTCTGTGGTCAGCTTGCAATAGCTTGGACAGATACTGGGCGTACAGATGGACAGCAGAGTGCTACTGTACTTTCCATGTTCTCTGTTAACAGCAGATATCGATTGGTGTGTAATGGAAAGTGCGGAGATCAAACAGACAATCTAACGTTTATGTTCGTTCAGGAAGGAAATAGAAGTCATATGCATGAACTGCCGCCTCTCCACAGCACCACATCCTTTCTGGGTAGACATGCTACCACAAAGTGTCTGCTTTGAGAAACCTGTGAAAGGCGGCCGTTCGCCCCCCCCAGCCTCCTCCTGCTGGGCCCACAGCAGCGACCTGTACCACCGAACACTGGACAACAAATCAGATGAGAGTCTTACAGACTGAGCTACACAGCAATGTGCAGCATGCAGTACGTTCCACTAAACAGTGGGCACAAAGCGAAAAAATGTTCATAATCTATTTACAAAAAGCAACTAAAAATACTCGATGGAGCAAAGGCACTTCTAACTTCCTTTTTTTTCTATCGTGACAACGCAGAATGACGACCAAGAGGAACTAATGTCACAATGTTATAAAACGCTCATGAAGCTGAACTTTGTTGAATCTATGAATCCTTTCCCGCTCATCTACAACGAAACGGGCCAACGGTCATTTTCACCGAGCAATATCCATCAACCGTTGCTCAAATCATCTCTCACTTCTGGATGAACGACACTTTAAGAAAGCAAAGCGTCAAAGCCTTTAGATGGTACAATCATCAGGTGATCAGAAAAGCAAAGAGAGAAGAGAAGATCATTTCAGTGTGATTGGATTCAGGTGGCGCGCGAACAAACAATCAATAAACATGGTGTGAGACCGTTATGGCACCGATTTGTCCGCTCAGGTCACAAGAAACAGACGAGCTGTAGTTTACACAACCAGCCCGGTCTTATCGACGGTTTGACCTTTCACTGAAAGACGTGACATCACACAGGACATCAACACTACTTCTCTCACATTCTATTTGCATTATTAATACAACACAAATACATCAACCAGATCTAAATGATATGAATACATCACACTGCATACACACAAACATCCTCCATTTAGTTGTGTGAAAACTATGTGACTGTCAAACAAACACAGCCATGTAAACCCAAGAGGCAAAGCACACCTAAACCCTGATCTCACGTCACTCCAAGCGTGTGTGTGTGTGTGTGTGTGACCTTGCAGAGGAATTCCCTTTCTCCCCGAGCTCTAGGGAAGTGATACCCTGCTCCAGACGGACAAATGAGTCAGAGAGGAACTCAGTACATGCTCACAAATGCACACACACTTGATGAAAGGTTAGTGCAAAGTGTTGCTAAGTCTCTCTGTCACACACACACACACACACACACACACACACACACACACACACACACAGTAGGTTCCCCCTCCCCCCAAACACCTGCGACCACACCCCTTCCTCTCCAGGGGCCCTGCAGTGCGGCGGATGCTTCCTCTAAAGGACACCGTTGGCCCGTTACGTACACACACGGGCCAATTATGAGCGAACCCACTGCTGTGCCGAGCAGCGCCGTCCTCCAGCATATAGACGGTTTGAATATTTCACTGTTGCTAGGAGACGTGAAAATCCTTGAACACATCCAGTTGGCTGTTAATACAAGTGGAAGAAGACATGGATTTCAGGCAAATTGATTAAAAAAAAAACACACACACAAAAAATGCGTTTTTGTCGACGGGATATGTTTCTCTGATAATTTATGTCATTTCCTGTGGCGACGCCCACAAAGATGATGCTGGGTCTGTCTCTGCTGTACAGTTAAGGAGACGGTGAATGAACGACAGAGAGGAGAGGAAAGCAAAGTAGATCAAGGTCTCTTCCTCAGTCAGGATGTGTTAAATGGCTTCAATTACTGCAGAGTCTATGAGCTTCATCAGTCTTCTTCTGAGGACATGAATCCAGCCACAGACTTGCGAAGCTTTATCGTTTCAGGAAGCGAAAACGCTGCCTCTCTATCGATGAACTGATCCAACGTGAACACACTTCAGCCTCGAGCTTTAGCCCAATTTCGAGCTTTGTGACAGAGCTTTGTTTTTGCTCGCTTGTCTCTTAAAGTGGCCGTTTTCACAGAAGAAAAAAGCAGAGAATTCCTGATGGCTGATTTCCATTCAGCCGCTTCAGTTTCAGGCTTACTGGGACATGTGTAGGCCACAACAGTGGGAATGGAACAGAGCCATCATCAATGTTAACACATGTGCTCTTCCTACTTTTTTTGGATAATACAGCCGCGTTTCATGTCGACTCACCTCCTTCCACATCCTTGGTCACCTTCCAACTATCAATACCTTAAAACTACGCCTACAGTTTGCTCTGCTATGAATAAAGTCCTCCCTCCACTTCCAGACTTGCCTCTGTTGCACCTTTCCCACACAGACTCGTTCCACTGATCTCTAATGCCTCTATTCATCTGAAATAGCTCTCCTTATCTTTAAAAAAAAGGTAGAGAATAAGTTCCTAGTATTTAACGCCAACTTATCTCCGACTGGTGGAGAAGAGCTTCCTGATATTGTTCTTTGTTTGTATCAAACCTCAAGACTATTTTAAACGGCAATGCTTTCAATGTTTTTGCATGTTTTTGTGCTATACTTTTTAAGAATTTGTGACTTCTTTGTGAATTTTGCATCAGATACAAGAGCTCAGAACTTGCAGTCACTTGCACTCTGGAAAGGAAGAGACGAATAGAGGACAGAAGATAAATGAGTCACTAGAGAAGCTAAAGGCAAGGACGTAAATAAGGAGAGAGGAGCGGAGAGGTGGAGAGAAAGAAAAGGAAGCAGGTAGTGGAAGGAAACGACAAAGGTGAGGCGGAGAGGAGCCTAAAGAAACGCTCCAGACTATTGAACCACCGTAGTGACGGACTAAGCTATGATGTTAGCAGGTGGAACACACACGCAGCATCATGCAAAACCCTCAATGCCCGGCACACAGACAGGGTTAATGAGGAGACAGACGGGTCAGGCCCAACGGCCGGTTAAAAAAACGTTCTGGATTCTTTGAAGGCCCACCTGGATCTGTGCCAGATGACCTGTACACCACTGCTAGCTAGCAAGCCGTAGGCTGTGGTTGAGTGAGAGTTGTACCTGATGCACTGATGCTATGTTTCCTCGTTTTTATATAGTGCTAGGTTAGTGTGTAGGGCAGAGGTAGCCAACAAAATAGCACTAGTCACCATGGAGCTCCGTCTAAAATTGTAGTTGCTGTTCTTTTTTAATCGAAAACGCTTCCATTAGTGTAGATTTTAAAATGACAATATTTCTTGTCATAACAGAGTTGGGTACCCGGAGGTGCACGGCGGACAGCCAGGACGAGGCCGCCGCACCGCACTAGGTTTTCAGGTTCCGAATGGCGGGCGCTTCTCGTTAGCGCCAGACGCGCACCGCGAGCGCACCCCGTCGTCAGGTCCGTAAATCCTCAGAACAGGCCGCGGGGCAATCCGAGCGAAAAGGCCCAGACTAGAGGTTTGAACGCGGGCGCCCGAAGACGCTCGCGCGCCTCGGAGGGTTGGATCCCCCGCTCGGCTATAGACGAGACTTTTTACTAGTTTCTTCGTGGAGAAAAAGGTACCATTAGAAAAGCTGGTGTCGGTGACTACAGACGGGGCTCCCGCCATGACGGGCCGGCATGCAGGCTTCATTGCGCAATGCAAAGGTGACCCAGACTTCACAGAATTTCTACATTACCACTGGATCATTCACCAGCAGGCGCTATGTGCAAAAGTAACCGGCTTTAATCATGCGATGATACAAAAATATCAGAGATGTGATACCTCTGACTTTCAAATAACAGAAATAAAAGTTGCATGTTTAAATATATATGTGTAGCTATACCATCACTGTTGTGGAAATCCTTTTTAATAATTATTGTGAGGAATAATATACTGACATGTGATCCAACAGTCTCTTCACATATATTATTATTATTAAATGTGATCTGTGCAATTTTGTTATTCAGGAAGTTTGTATCAAATAAGTAGCCCTTCGTACTACTCGGTACCCTTGAAGTAGCTCTCAGTTTAAAAAAGGTTGGTGACCCCTGGTGTAGGGTTACGCTAAAGATGGCTCCAGTGTGTCATTAAGGCCATGATTTCAGGCCTCGACTAACAGTTTAACAATATAGTTCACAGTGTTTTCAACAATTATTTTCTAACATGTGTAATGAATATATATAAAAACCCAGGACTTTAAGCAATGGAGCACCACCTAATAGTGCGAGTGTGAGTGTGTGCAATCCACCTACCTTGACACTGGAATCCCTGCTTGCCAAAACCCCTGTAGAGAGAACATACACAGAAAACAGGTTGAACAATGTACAGGCACAGACGTGTGTACGCACACTACTCTCACGCACACACACACAAACAAGGAACTCGGAAAATGAATTCTGACACTCTCTCTCTCTCTGTCTTGAGACATTTGCGTAGAAGTGAATGTCAAATACTGTCTGCCATTTGTGTGCAGCGCTACAGATTTCCATCCAAAGGAGCACAAATGTAAACACACGCACACACACACACACACACACTGAAGTATGCAAGCAGCAAGGCATTGGATTATTGTTAACTGTAGAGTACATGTAAGGTCAACAAATACTGTTCTGTAAGGCAGGGCTGCATCTGCCCCAGGGCACAATGGTCAACCACACCTAGTGCATGGATTGGGGAATGCTGTGATACCTGCACACACACTCACACATACACTGTCACACACATTCAGCCCTGCTCATGTTCATATTGTGGCTAGAAATAGATAGTCTCTGAAGGTTTGAAACCACTCATTGCTCTTTTCATTATGCTTATTGACCCGGATAGATGGACAGAGAGACGGTTTGATAAACAGGTCAAGCAATTACAGTGTTCCTCTGTTTAGTGTATACAACCAGTGACACCATGCCATTAGATTCCCATGAAAACACACACACACACACACACAGTCTTCTAGGTCAAATCATTTAGCCATTCACAAATTAAAAAGCCCATCACAGGAATTAAATAACACCCATTTTGGGAATAGTGCACAGCACAGATAATAATAAACGGGACAAATTAGGCCAACCTAAAGCCGGAAACTCATTTATTAACGTGAGCTAAGTCACCGTGCGGTAGACCCAGGTGGGTTGCACGGTGACAAGTCTGCACAGGTGAATTAGAGGAGAAAATGAAGAGAGGAGGAAGGCTGACCTGTCAGTGTTTGACCCGTGTGAGACTATTTAAGTGACAGCAGGTCACTGTTTTTGTTTCATTTCTGCTCAGCCTCTCTCAGTTCCTGCCTACTTCAAACCACATCAAACATGGTCTGCAGCTACCCCTTTCTTACAGGTGCAGCCCATTATCTCTCCGTCTCTACCAAACACACACATATATAGCATCAATAGCATCAACGAATCAGGCTAAAATCAATATTTATTTTGAGGAATCTGTGCAACCGGTGCAGCCCTCCCACTTTCTTTAGTCCTGCTGGAACTTAATGATGTAACACTATCAAACACTATACAGCCATTTTGTCTTTTTCATATCAATATATCTCTCTCTCCACTTTTCTCATTTGAACTAAACTCAGTTTGTCCTGACGTTTTACTGATGTCCAAACTTAAATAATTTATTATTATTCTCTTTGTGTACCAATAAAAATCAAAAGGCTTGATTGCAACATTCATCTTTCAAACTGCTCTCCTGTGAACCCCCTCATCCATCCATCCATGCGTGTGTCCGCTCCTCACCAGATGAAGTCTGTGCAGTGGCTGCAGAAGGTGGGCTGCTTGAAGAAGCGCGCGATGAATTTGTGGTCCTTCACCTCGTGCACGTTCTTCTGGCGGAGGGCACCCTGGCGCGCGAAGCCCCGCATGGGCTCCCCGGGTCCGTCCTCCCCGTCGCTGTTGGACGCAGCAGCCGCCGCCACCGCCACCGTGTCTGCCATTCTCCAGCTGTCTGTCTATCTGTCTTTTATTTTACTTTACCTGACTAACGCAAGCTGTCGGCGCCTCTCAGGTGGCACAAAGTGGCTTCTCGCGCGATGTTCCGAGTGGAGGAAAACCCCTGCGGTGACGCGATCAGCTGATAGTTAGCTTTCGGTAGTTTTGTTTAGTGGTTTAATTTTCTGCAATCTTGTTCCTCAAATGAGTAGACGAGCTGCCGCTGAGCTCCTCTCTCTCCGCTTCCTCCTTCTCCTCTGAGCGCACTGAGAGCCGGTGACTACCAGCGAGAGGAGGGGGAGGAGAGAGAAGAGAGAGAAGGGGAGAGAGAGAGAGGAGGAAGGAGAGAGAGGGGAGGAGAGAAAGAGAGAGAGAGGAGGAAGGAGAGAGAGATAGAGGTTTGAGGTTTAAAAGTCCCTTTATTTGCAGTGAAAACAGAAAACTTCCAATAAATCAATCAAATCAAATAAACAAATTAAAGCACCAAAGAATAAATAAACAATCAATCTCAATGATCGATATGTTCAGAAGCTCTCCACCAGCACCCACTGAGCATGCAATGCTCCCAGTAGTCCATCTGTCCCTGAAAGCCTGTAAATTGTCCACCGTCTGGTAATAGTGTGTATAGTGTTCCACCCTGAGTCGGGCTTTTTAACTGTCCCGACAGAACTTTCACCGGATCCTCACTACCGGCACTGTGCCCGATTCTTCCGTGTCAGCCAGATGGCCAACTTGGCGGAACCAGACAAAAAGTTCACCAGTGTGTGGACAGCCTTGTTTTTTGTGCAGTATTTTGGACCGAAAATAAATAAAATGAAAGAAAAGTCCTCTCCAAGGCCCTGACACCATCCCTTAAACGTGCAAAGAGTGCTGAGAGCCGAGGACACGAACAAGTGCTCCAGGGTCTCAGTCTGACAGCAGAAACAACACTCCTCCCCAATGTGTGGATCCAGGTGTGCTCGGTATCTATTTGTGGCTATAGCCCCATGTACAACCCTCCGCTGGAGGTCTGCTGTCCGTTTTTCAGCGGGCAGCTTGTACATGAACCTCCAGCTGCCTTTCGGGGGAAAAACCTGGTCCAAAGAACTCGGTCCACCTCGACTCCTTCAACCCAGAGAGCGTAACTTCACAACCTTTACGCAGGTTTCATGAATTGCTTTTTTCCCTGCTGCCTGAAACTAGTCCAGGTGAGGGGTTGTGAACGTCAGCAGCTTATTTCCTCCCCCCTGCCAGTCCCCCACAGCTGGGGCAATGAGCAGAGTGTGTGTGGGGGGGGGGGGGGGTACTCACTCTTCATCCCACTGTTCAGACAGAGTACAGTTTCCTGCAACTGCTCTCAGGTGTTGTGGCAGGGCGGCACAGACTTCCTGACAGACGTGATGTTGGCGTTCTGCCTGCAGGTGACCATAGATGATGCTGTTGATGACATCTTCACCAAATGTCCCAGTTTAGTGCAGCCGGCTTCTCTCAGTCGCGTTCGCAGGCTGGCAGACTGCAGTGTTTGAGTCCTTATGACGCTGCTGAAGAACAAAGGTTCCTCCAGCAGCCACACGCCCAGATTGATTTGTTGTCTGGAGATAAAGCAATAGATCATCATATTATCCAACACTACCTGTATGGACTATGGATACACGTTCCATTTTAAGATCCGGACCAAGTTATGTAAATAACTGTGAAAACAGCCGAATAAACATCATTTCTTAGATCAGGACTGTGCAGCCAACAGTAAACACAAGGGATGACGTTCAATATTTGAAATTGAAAGTGCTCCTTCCCCAAACGAGATAGCTCTAGTTTGGGGAAGGATGAACACACTCAGACTCCTTAAGTCTGAGTGCTGGCATTGAATGCAAGCACAGTTGCTGAGTTGTGACTCATCTTAAGACTTTTGCTTTCAAAAGGGATTTCGGAGGATCATCATCTGCCATTGTTGGACCAATTTCATGTCACACACAAAGTTTTTCCAAGATGCATTTAAGGTGTCAAATGATACGGCTCGCTGAGTCATTTGATCTACGAATGTGATGGGAAGAGTCAAGAATCCTCTTTTAACCACCTGCATCTCCCAGCAAAGTAAATGTAGAGATGAATATATGTGATGCGGGGACAGGGGGGTGACTGATGGTTACTGAGAGTGTGAAGCAGGACATCACTGCTGTGGCAATGACGACATAGCCTTCATATACACACAGCAAAAACAAGATGTATCAACAATGGACATATTGATCTTCCACCTGGTTTAAGGCCACACAATCTCATTCTCAATCTCACAGTGACAACCACAGTCCCAACTGGTCCATGCTGTGTGGGCACACACTCACACACACACGCACACACACACACACATGGTGGCAGTCAGCTGGCAGTGAATGACCTAGATGAGATTGATTTAGCTGCAGGACAGATAACTGTATGCAGCTCACCCTGGTCTCATCAATACAAGGTTTACTGTAGATTTAGCTCCCAGCTCAGAGCTCACTTTTGAACCTCTCTGCTCCCTATTACCTCGTTCAACATCGGAGGCACACATACCGCCATTGTTACATATTTGTCTGCCGGCAGTGGGTGAAATGGTTCATTCGGGCTTAATTTGCAATGGTACCAGGTGTCAAGAGGCTCTGGTAGTGACGTAAGCGTACCCCGGGAGTACCTGACTGGGGCCTGGGTGTATGGACGGTGACACAGTGACCCATCATTTTGCACCATAAGCCACTGATCTCTTTCCATGTCATCAATACACAGGATGTTATGTAACTATTCCCCTCGGCTGTTGAACTAGGGCGAGAGTCCATGTCGGCGAGCCAGCTTCAATGTCCAATACGATGTGGATGACAGCAGGTATGTCACTGGTGTTTTGTTTTTTCTTTACTTTTGATTGCTTACATTAAGTAATAATTTTTTGTATTACAAGTTTTCTGAAATGCTATGTTTAAATATGCAAATTGTTGTTTACCTTCTCTTTTCTTTGCTCCATTAATTAGACAACTGTAGCCAAATTGTGTCATGTTTTTAGGTGTAAGATATAATGATTTTTAACAAAAGAATTGAACAAGAATACGTTCACACAATCTATAACGTCAGTGCTAAATGTTACACTTACATTTTTGACTGCGGTGAAGTTAGCAGACACTCGGATCTCCATGTAAACACTAAAATGTTAGTGCACCTATATACTGACATTCATGGTAAACTCGTTCAAACGGCCCAGATCGGGAGCGAGCGAGGGATCGACGTGAACAACTTCCGGTTTTCAAAATAAGATGTCAACAAAGCGTATTGCATACATGGAAATAAGATTAAACAGTGGCGGCTGGCGGAAAATGTTGAAACTGCAATGTCTTTATTCTTTGATTTGAGGGTTGCTGGAAAGATAATTAAATGAATATCTGACTGACTGATATTTTTGACCACATCCATAGAAAAATCAAACATCTGAACTGTACCAACTAAAAGATTTTACAAAGTAAAAGTCCTACATTGCACACCCAAATCTAACAGTTCACCCTAATAAAGTTATCAGTCACACCTGTGTTTGAAGAGTCAACATTTCTGCAACGCGAAAGGTCAGTATGACATCAAGTGCACTCCAACTGCTTCACATGTGGATTTGTATGTGTGAGAAATGCCTGGATGTATATTAGATTAGCCAACATTTAACTGGATACACTCCACCGCCCCAAAATACATTGCAATGCGTCTCTTCAGACGATGGTGGACTGCAAAGCAAACGGTTCAAATAAAATACCAGTTGGGTAAAATAATTACCAAATGATGGCGAGTGACGTAGAACATTTGTTCATTTGAACTTGCCTTAAAATAATACTGGAAGATATTACATAGAAGAGAAAATGTTGATTCACATTTGCGATTAGCAGTGACGTCTAAAGACGTTTTGCTTATTTATTATACAACTTGATTTTGAACACGACATATTTTCTGGGTTGTTCCTTTCTTTCTCTCATGTATCCAATCCTCCAAAAGGTCCCCTCTGTCTCTCTCTTTCTTCTAATTTATATCTCTGTCTCACTATTTCCCCCCATTTTGTCAATGCTCCATCCTCCACCTCTCTCTCTCTGTATCTCGGAGCATATTTCTTCTCCGATCCCATGGTCCTTTTTTTCTCATCTTTTTCCTCCACATGGGAGGGAGTTGTTATATAAACCTGTTGTTTCCTTCGTCATCCAGTGACTACAGCACAGAACATGTTCTGACGCACAAATGCAGACACACATACCCTCAATCACACACACACATACACACACACACACTCACACACACACACACACACACTCACACACACACACTCACTGCACAACATCGCTGTATTGAGTTTTGATCGCTTGTCTTGATTGAGTTCTTGAATTTTTTTTTTTTTACACTTCAAATGAAACATAATCATTTCATCTCTGCATCTGTTTCTGGTTAAAATGATAGCAGAAATGTACACACACTCTCCACACGCATAAACACACACTCACACACACATTAGCCAGCCATTAGCACAACTTCGCTTTGAAGCTATAACCCTCACACACATACACACACACACACACACACACACACACACACACACACACACACACACA